TCCTTTCCCTTCCTTTCCTTTCCTTTCCCTTCCTTTCCTTTCCTTTCTCTTCCTTTCCTTTCCTTTCCCTTCCTTTCCCTTCCTTTCCCTTCCTTTCCTTTCTTACCTTTTCTTTTCCCTCTCCTCTCCTCTTTCTTCTCCCCTCCGCCCTTCCCTTCACCTCTTCTCCCATCTTCTCTCCCTTTTCTGTCCTTTCCTTTTCTTTTTTTTTTCATGCATGGGTTTATCCTGACTGTTGTGCCAGCAACTTTCCAGTGGTTTCTTCCAGGTCTAAGCAAATATATTCCACTGGCAGGGATAGGCTGACTAGCTTCTGCCACTTTAGACTGTCTTCATCATGGAAATCTCCCCCAGTTCACCTCTGTGCTGTACCTCTACCTCTGACAGGTCATTGTAACAGGAAAATGAAGTATCTAGTATCAGGCTAGGAATAATGGCTTTTGATCCACATTTAGTCCCATTAAACATACATCTTTTCAAAGTGGGTGAATGGTATTGGCATAGCATTATGACCCAAGTTGTACTTAACTGTCTCTAACTCTCTCAGGGTCTGGGAATCTGTGCACACAGTTTGGAAAATAAAACTCAAGTGTCTTAAGAACCTAAATGATAATAAGGTTGGTGAAACCTCACCCTCCCTAAGAGTGAGCATGGTCTTACTAGTTTCCTTATGCCTAACTCTGACATCAAAATAACAGTTGAATTACCCATGATTTTCATAGAAGATGTTGTCTAGCCTCTTTGCCAATATGCCTTTCCTCTGGTCAGTCCTGAATGCCTCAGCAAAAATTACTTTATTGAAGCAATGACTTCTTGCTTGTTTTTTAAAACATTTTTTCAACAGATATTTTAGCATAGAGAGAACAAGAAAGAGGATTGAATCAGAAGCTAGACTTCTCTTATTTATTGTTTTTAAGAAATATATATATATATAAGAAATATACATATATATATTACATTTAACAGATAATGTGTCAAAATTGGTCTACTTGTGTCTGCTTTTATGCTTTTGTGTTCTGTGCATTAAAAATGTCATATGAGACTTTTTTTGGTGGCAGATCTATTATCACTCTCTAATCTATGTCCTAAAAACAAAACAACCAAAAGAAAATTTCACTCGTAGCAAATATGTATGGTCCATCAAGACAGGTCAACACAGTGGCCACATCTGAAGATACCTATCTTATTCTGCATCTCTGGTCTGCCAAGAGGTAGGAGGTATGTTTGAAGTCAGAGTTATCATCTACTTGGATCAGAGTTCTGAGGTCTTTCAGAGTGGTTTCCCTTTATAGTATTGTTGCGGTCATCATGTAAATTGCTGTCCTGGGTCTTCTCATTCCCATTTACATCAGTTCATTTAAGTCCAGGTGTTAGGATTCATCATATTGATCATTTCTTACAGTGTAACCATATTCCCTTCTATCTATATGTCACAGTTTTTCAACTGTTCTCTATTTGATGGACACCTATTTTGTTTATACATTTTATTGTTATGATGACTAACACCATGCTATATATATTATATATGTATATTATATATGTATGTATATGTCCTTGACCTTCTTGGGGATTGATGGCTACCAGTAGTTTTGCTGAATCAAAGGGTATAAGCAATCTAGTGACCTTTTTGGAATAGTTTCAAACTATTTTCCAGAGTGATTGAACCAATTCACAATTCCAGCAACAAACAGTGCACTAGTGTGCCTATCTGTCCACAGCTCCTCTAAAAATTGCTCTTTTCCCCTTTTGTCTATTTGTTCATTATTCCAACAAATCATTTACTCTTCAGAATTCTCCGGTATCTCCCCAGTGGCTTAGTCATTGGGTTCATAATCCTATACTCTTCTTCTTTAATTAAGTTCAGTGAAAGTTTATTAAGCAGAGTAAATGCAGAGTATACACTGTGCTTTTATGTGCATTTATGGACTATCAGTCTGGCCCATTCTACCTTGTGAGTCCATATGTTTGGCTACCATTTTCCCATGTCTTAATTGTTGCTGTCTTGGAAAAGGATGGACCTAAGGGGATGATCTAATATAGCCCCACCATTTTTCAGATGAGGAAACTGGGGCCCAGTGACTTGGCCAAGGTCAAATGTGGGTAGGAAATGAAAGAGCTCAGATTTGAACCAAGGCCCTCTGGCTCAAGATTGCCACAGAATGGCCATCAATGTATGGGAGCACAGCAAGTAGAAAACTTAGTGGGCAACAGTTCTTTACCCAGTTGAAGACTAATAGGTTGACTATAGTAGGAACATCTTTCATAGTATATGCAAGATCCTGTTCCCTTTCCCAGGCCATCCCTGTTTCTAGAAATTATACTGAATTTGTTTGAGAATGGACTATTCTTACAGGAGTCACCATCTTTTTTTCTTTCTTTGCAGTTGTATATGAACACAGATCAAGACTAGAAAAATCTTTACAGAAGGAAAGACTTGAGCACAAGAAAGCAAAAGAAGGTAAAAACATTTTTCATTTGGCTCTCATGTTTTATTGCTTGGTATTCTAATGTCTACTGTGTTGGCTTTCCATTTGTTTTGGAGTGATGTATCTGAAATTGACCCAAGGTCAGTGTCAGAAAGTGGACCTACTGTGTTCATTGTTACACCAAGAATTGAAGAAATCAGGATTGGAACATATCTATAAAACACCTATGAGATTCTAGTCCAATGCTTAGTCCCATCAGCTCGATTTACTTCTCAAATAGGTTTTACTCTATCAGGGAGTGATGATGTTGCAGCCAGGGGATTATCAGCTGAGTCCTTGGGTGGTCTAGTTCATCACTAGATCTGTGCTCAAACACTTTCCACCTTGGTGGATCTGGCCATAATTTTACTTGATCTCTGTTAGTCATTGGAGCTTTGGATATAAAGGTCATTCATGGTCACTAAGCAAAATGGGGATGCAACATTATGTAAAGAGAGCCCTGGATTTAGAGGCAGAGAGACATGGGTTCAGAAGACACTAAGACACCCTTAGTAGCTGTGTTACCTTGGGAAAGTCATTCAACCTCCTTGAGCCTCAGTTTCCTTATCTGTGAAAGGAGGGGGAGTTGACCTTGATGACCTCCAAGGTCCTTTCCATCTCTAAATCAATGATTCTATGACTTTCTCCAGATGTGTTTTTGGTATTCTATATGTTTCTTTATATATCCTTTCTTGACAGGAAATATCTGTAATGGACCAGAATTGACATATTGTGTTTAGTACAAGTAATAAATTTCTCCTTTTGCCAGGGTGTCTCCCAAACCATGTGCAGTCCGATGAATGCTCTTTGATTGGCATGTGTCCACTGTTGAATCTGATCATTATTGTTTAAATGCACATAAAAATTCTGGTATGAGAAATGTATATTGACATAATTGACATTTTTTGTTTTTATTTTTTTGCTTTTTGGTGAGGCGATCAGGGTTAAGTGACTTGCCCAGGGTCACACAGCTAGTAAGTGATAAGTGTCTGTGGCCGGGTTTGAACTCGGGTCCTCCTGACTCCAGGGCTGGTGCTCTATCCACTGCACCACCTAGCTGTCCCAATTGACTTTTTTTTAAATGAAAATTTTTCAGAAAGCGCGGCTCCTTTGGGACTTTTGCAATTTCAGCCACCTTGCATTTCCCATTTTCTTAAGGTCATCCTCCAATTCAAGGTCACAAAAGTCCTTCCTGTACTTTGGGAACCTGGAAGGGTAGATGACAAATGTCAGTAGTTGGATTATCTTATTAAAACCTTGAGGTTGTCTTCTGAATAATAACAACAACAGTAACACTTGTATAGTTTACAAGGTGTTTAAAGTTTACAAGGCGTTTAAAAAATATCACTTTATCCTCACAACAATCATGAGAGGTGAGTATTATTATTAACTTCATTTTAAGTGTAAAGTTTAAAGTGTGCTCATGTTTTGAGGAGAGACAGTCTGCTAGCTTTCTTGTTTGCAGATTCTGAATGATTTTATGGAGCCATCTAGTGGACAAGAACTGTTAAAGACTGTTTGGACGGAATGATTTGGGATAGTTGGCTCTTCCAATCTTAAATGGTTTTATGGTGCCATCTAGTGGCTGGTGATAAATCATCCCTTGTTTTATTTTCTCTAATAGAATGAAAGATAAAATTCACTTTTTATAATGTTGGAGTGTTTTTGTTGTTGTTATTGTTGTTGGTTTGTTTTCTTCAGATTTCAAGGTCAATAGAAAAGAAAAAAATAGTTCCCTTCAATTTAGTAACAAAATTAGCTAGACAGAACTGCCATAAGGAAGTGATTTTTTTTAAAATTTAGAACATTTTTCTAGGACCTTATGAGATAAGCATTTTTCCACTTAGACTGGCATTGTAAAACATCCTATAATTCACTGCCTATCTATATGTCTCTTTTCTTTTTATTTCCTAGATTTTCTGGTTTATAAATTAGAAGCACAAGAAACACTAAATAAAGGAAGGGTAAGTTATTCAATGTGTGTGTCTATGTGTGGTTGATTAACAAGAATGTTTGTTTCTAAGCCATTTGTACAGGAAAAGCCAAAAACTTTATTTTAGTTCAATCACACAAAGATATGTCCAATGCCTACCATATGAAAGGCTCCAGGGACAACAGAAACAAAATGAATAAAGGATAAAATGAATGGTTCGTGTCCTCAAGAAGCTTATAGTCAACATTATCTTGGACAAAATACTTGCTCTGAACCTCAGGGCAGTAATTGTGAGAGGAAAATAAAATGTGTAATTCAGCTGATTTATTTAGATGTGAAAGGCTAGGCTAGAGTCAGCTTCAGAGAAAGAGGAAGAAAACAGGATAAAAGGAATAAATTCTGACAGTTGATAATGTGCTTTGGGTGCCATTTTTATGCAGGCTAGTCACAGTTGCTGAGTCTTACACATGTGAGATCCTTCTAGGCTGGAGCTCAACCTCCCTGTTCTTTTTGCTTCCTTTGATTCCACAAAAAATGTGGGTTTTCTTGGATGTTGTTAAAGATAGGCCAGCCCTAAAACATGTCAGGTTGTTTCCTTATATGAAAACCTCTGTGTATTAATTACAAGAGGGAAACTAAATGTGTGAATCATCCTAGTTATGTGGCTGTGAAATTCTTATCCTCAGACTCTGGGTATATGAATGTGGAAACCAGATGCAAGTTGGCTTGGTCACCTCCATCATGTGAAAGTCTTGGCGGATGTAGGAGTAAGTTAGGCTGAGCTCACGGGCAGCTCTCCCTTCCCTACCCCTGCTTTCACCGAATGGAATGATTTTGAATATTTCCACTCTCTTCTTATGTCTTGACCTGAGTTTTGAGCCCAATTCCTGCCATATGTCCATGTAACTTCAGGCACGGCTGTTAATATATATTGTTTGTTTCCAGTACATCCCAGTAGAATGTCAGCTCCTTGAGGTCAGGAACTTTTTGTTTATCGTCTTCATATCCCCCTTGTGCCTAGCACAATGCCTAGCACACCATAGGTGCCTAATAATTGCTCGTTGGATCAGCCTGTTGCTGAACTGAGTTTGAATTCTCTCTCTGCTCATTACAACCTGTGTCCCCTTGGGAAAGTCTCTTCACTTCTGGACCTCACTTTGCTCATTTGTGAAATGAAGTGGTGCCTTTGGAAGGCCCTGTTCCTTATATAAAAGAGGTCCATGGATGGGACCTCAGCAATCCACTCCTCCAACCCCCTCATTTTATAAATGAATCTCAGAAAGGTGAAAACGCCTGCCAAGGTCACTCTCTCAGGTAGCGAGCAGTGGAGGCAATATTTGAAACCAAGTATTCTGAGGACTTCCAATCCAATACTGACTTTTACTCCAGCTCCAGTTTTTTCATCACTTAAATATGACAGCCATACCTGACCCTTTTAGCCTTACTGCTAGCATGAAATAACGAGACGCTCAGTTCTAGTCCTGAATTCAAGTTAGAAGCAAAGTCATTCTCTTAACAGCTCGAGGCTGAGTTTCACATGAGGCAGATCTGGTGTCTTTGCGTTGACTTTTTTTCTTCTTCAATTTTACAGCAAGATTCCAACAGCCGATACAGTGCGTTAAATGTACAACATCAGATGTTGAAAGTGAGTATTAGATAAAATATGGCCCCTCTTGGTGAGTGAAGGAATAAATTAATTGCCACTTAAGATGATTAGTGATGCTGGTCCATGGAGTGATTAAGGGAAGGTTGGAGAAGATCAATGGGCATGAATCTCTGGTAGATAAACTAGAGACACGGTTGGAAATGATGCACGCTCATCAGGCCCCTCTCCATCATCGCTTAGCTAAACTCTGCATGTTTAGCTTATTTTATCTTTCCTCATGATTCAGGCACTGAGTCCCCTCATCCTTCTTATTGCCGTCCTTGGCATCATTTCGGGTTTTTTTGTTTTTTGTTTATTTCTCCCCACACTAGGCTCGTTGTGTGCCTGCTCTGGACAAAAGTATCATCAGTTTAGCGAACAGTGCATAGGTCTGCTAAAATGAACTTCAGGGTACACAGACATTTAATATGCTACCAGAGGCATACAATTTGTACTCAGAGATTCCCTTTCTTTAGTCCTTTAGCAAAACTGATTCATTTACGTTGGGAGAGAATTTTTTTTTTTTTATCCAACCAGTAGAAGTGACCTTTTTCCCACCAA